GGATGTTTATTTAGTTATGGTACTTGAGATCTGAATAATTTCTTTAGTGCTTGTAACAAGCATTCTTAACTTTAGTTTGCTTTTAAATAATATTCTCTCAGTTCTCAAAGAGCTTTACAATAATCTAATTCCATCTATCTTTTGTGATCATATTAAATAACTTGTTTTTAGTAATGTATGTGAGCGACTTTATGAGTCATTATTTTGCTTTAAAACATTATTTAAGAAAATAAACATTACAGTTGTTTATATACCTGGTACATTTCTTTTCAGTGTCCTTTACTTTTTCATGTACACCAATGCTTCTCTGTTTCTAAATCCATTCTGTCTGAAAACACCCATCATATATTTTTTTTGGAAGTGTAGGTGTGCTATCAATTCTTTTGGCTTTGTTTTTTTTTTTTTTTTTTTTTTTTTTTTTTGTGTGTGTGCTCGCTCAGAAATGTCTTCATTTCTTATTTTATATAATATTAATGGAACTAACTAAATTTGTTTTATTACATTTATTTATTGGTGTGTGTGTGTGCACGCGCACATACACACACATGTTATGGTAGTCACATGGAGTTGGTCCTTTCCTTCTACCATGTAGGCTCCAGGGATCAAACTCAGGCTGCCATATTTATGGAACAGGCAACTTCACCAGCAGAGCCATCTCTTTGGCTCTTTGTTTTCTCTTTCAAATGTTATTTTATCAGGCATATTTTGTGTCTAGGTTGCTAAGCCTATCTAATAAATTCTTCATTTCAGATGTTCTGTTTTATTGCTTCTAGCATTTTTATTTGTTTCTTTTTGGAGTTTCAGTTTATGATTTAGACCTCAAAATCTTGCATGAGTTTTGTTTGATATGCCTTACCCTTTGCTACCAAGCTGTATAATGTATTATGTAACAGTAAAAAAATCTTATTTGCCCATCTCATTATCACAGCCATGCCTGGTTTGACTTTGTTTTTTCCTCTAACAATTGGCTCTATTTTCCCCTTTATTTGAATTGTTTTGCAGCGTTTGTTGTATAGAGGTCACCTTATAGAACATTGTTATGTGTAGGATCCGAAAGTAGAGAATACTTTTCCTAAGAAGAAAGTACACCTGCCTCTTCTGTTGGATACTATGAAATGGGCTGGTATTCACAGCCCATAGCTGGTTTCAGTACAGGCTGTGGCAGTTTTTCCTGCCTTCACTAAACCAATGATTTCAAATGTTACAAGGGTAAAATTAGTACTTCTCACAGGGTTTGGGAGTTAATCCTCATGAGATTTAGAGATATCTCTTGACAGTTGGTCCAATGGTTAGCTTTATATGCCACTGGAGAATCTATTACCTAGCCCCACCTCCAACCCTTCATGCCATGGGGTTTCTGTATCTTCTTTTATGCCTTGCTTCTAGCTCTTGTTAGACTTCTGTGCACCTGAAGACAGGTTCAGCTGAAGAAGACTTTGTTGGTCCTGTGGACTTAGCACATCCTAGTCTTCTCTACAATGCCAACCCACCATCTGACTAACTCACTACGGAAGGTTTGTCATCTGGGCATGCAAGTGTCCTAGATTTCTTTCACTTAGAACCCATCCCCTCTAGCACTGAGGTTACCGAGATTTCTTTGAAACTTAAGCTATTTAATGTGCTTTTAAAAATGCCTCTCAGCTGTCTTTTATTTTGGCAGAAGCAGGAGCGGGCCAGTCTCTTACATTTTTCTTATGGAATCAAGCATCCTCTTGAAATGGCTGCTCACAGACTTCACTTCTTATGTAGTCTTTCCTTTTCAGGCTGTGCACTCTTGAGCATTGATTTCTGGATGAATGGTTTATCTATTAAGTTTAGGAACTACTTGCAGAATGAAATATCCTGTGATAGAGGCCCTTCCCAAAGTCACTTATAAACCCATGGTCAGCAGCAGAGCAGACACAGTCCTGTGGAGTGTGTGTTCACTGCGTCATTTGCTTTTAGCCATTCTTTATTCCATTCAGAATAGTAATATTGGCATGAAGAATAATGATGATAACTACTTTTCTTTTTCAGGAATGATTGTCAAGGGTCAAGCCCTATGCCTTATGTGTCCCAGACAAGCTCTGCTATTGCGTTACTTACACCCTGAATGCTTTTTTTTTTTTGTAGAGTCTCACTGTGTAGATCTGGCTGTCCTGGAGTTCACTATGCAGATTAGACTGGCCTTGAACTCACAGAGATCTACATGCCTTTGCCTCCAGAATACTGGAAGTAAAGGCTTATACCTCCATGCCCAGCTTCTGAACGGTTAAAAGCATCTCTTTAGGGCAATCTATAGTTGCATATGTCTGTCATATTGATTCCTACGTAAATTACTTCTTATTTTTTGTGTATTTAATCCTTTTTATATCCCTTATCAAAAAGGTGAAAATTGATGAAATCCTCTGCAAAAGGCTTTGTTCCCTCTTTGATGCTGGATGATAATTTTGAAGTAACAAAGTTTCTTCAAAGATTGTTGAGATCCTATTTTTCTTATATGTATACCTGAAAGAAAGTAGAGTTAAAATCTAGTGCATGTTGGCCTGTACTTGGCAGATGGTTATCATTAGTTCATTTGTTTCTCTGAGTAGACTCTTTTATGGACCATCACAAAATCTGGCATTCTAGAGAGTTATTGAAAACCGAGCCCTTATACAATGTAAGGAGTGTTTTCAGGAGGTGAGTGCTCATTGGATTGTGAGGATCTATTTTGCAGCTCCGTTCCCTTGGGTCCTTAGGCTGACTTTGCTTTTCTTGGTCCAGGGTTGAAAAGGTGGCAAGTGCCAGTTAACAACCCCAGGGAGTAGCCAAGTGTGTGCTGCTGCCACTGTGGCAGTTAGTTCCTCAAGTAGCTCTTTGGACTAACTTCTCTACACTTACTGATTAACAGATATATTATCTACTGAATCTGTCTATGTAATCCATTTATCTATCTACCTATCAGTTATCTATATATTATCTATTCATCAATCATATATTATCTATCTATCATCTATTTCTATTATCTATCTACTTTTAAACTGTCTTCTATGTTTACATCTATCATCTGTCACATCTATCTATCTATCTATCTATCTATCTATCTATCTATCTATTTATCTAAATCATCTGTCTGTGTCCTAGCACTCAGGAGGCAGAGGTAAAATGGCCACAGCACTCTATCATTTATCTTAAAAATTACATGTCTGACAATTTTTCTTTTGTGCTTTGGTTTCTCTATGTAGTTTTGTAGACCAGGCTGGCTTCAAACTCATCAAACTCAGAGATCTGAGTACCTCTGCCTCTGGAGTGCTGGGATTAGAGGCATGTGCCTCCACCACCCATATTTTTTTTTTTTTTTTGAGGGATACCTCACTCAGCCTAGATATAAGGGAGGGCCTTGGTCCTGCCTTAAAGAGATGTGCCAGACTTCATTGACTCTCCATGGGAATCCTTACTCTCTTTGAGGAGTGATTGGGGTGTGGTGGGGGGAAGGTGGGGAAGGTAGGAGGAGGGGAGGGAGTGGGAATTAGAATTGGTATGTAAAATGAGAAAAGATTAAATAAAAAATGTTAACATGTTACATGTCTATTAGATCTATGCTAGATAATATGCAGAGACATATTGATACCTTTGATGGCAGCCTTATGGCTAGGGGATGGGAGTGAGGGGACAGTTCCTTCTACCATGTGTTTTTTGGGTACTTAAAACCTATGGATTCATGAAGCACTTAAAAAAATCATCATCACTACAAATATTAATTTAAGGTGAAAAACCGTGGGATTAAAATTTGGAAAAGTGGTTTCATTAAAGGGTAAAAATTTATTCTAAGTCAGAGTAGCTTTTAATTAAATCCCAACCATCATTTATTGTACAGCTAGCAGCCATTCATGAGCACTGTTTCAGCAACTAGAGAGTCAAAGAATTCTTCTGGGTTTAGTCTTCAGTACTACATAAACTGGGTGTGATGACTCACTCATTCCTGTAATCCTAGCATCTGGGGGTTGGAAACAGCAAGATGGGAAGTTTAATGTCATCCTTGGCTACACAGTGAGTTTGAAGAGAACTTAGGATACAGTTGTTTTTCTAAATAAGTGGGGGACAATCAGAGTTCCCTAGATGTAAGAGGGGCCATGGTAGTGAAGGGGCACAGGTGATGGACAGGATGAAATGAAGCTGAAAAGTTTTCTTTGCAGATCAAGGTGGGCCTCAGGAGCTGAGAGAAGGTGTGCCAAGGATGAGGGGAGAGATGGCAAGAAACAGTCCTGCAATTTCAGGAAAAGGCATTTCTCAACTCAGGAGTATATAGGAGTGTTTGACTGTACTTTTCTGGAAGTTGTCTCTGTTTGTTTGTACCTTTGGCATTTATTGTAATTAGTACACCTAGGGCTTAACACAGGACTTTTTTCCTTTCATTTTTGGAGAGCTTCTTTGAGGGCATCTAATTACTGATGGAGGGTGATTCTAGAGTGTGTGCCCACAGGGAAAGAGACTGAGACATTAACAGAGGCATTGAAATGGTCCATGTGAGATAATTATTGATGACCCTGATGATTAAGAAAATTAAAAGTTTTTAGTCCTTTCATTGATGGCCAGACTAAAAGTGGCCTTGTGACTCTAAAAGGTTTCTTGGTGTCCAAGCTCAGGGGTACAGAGTTTTAAAAGGCAAACCCCATAAAGACCATGATTTATATCAAAGTTAGTTAGAATCAGAATGACCTGGAAACTTTCATTCCTGGTAAAGTGTAGCAATTATTTTAGACATAACATGCCAATTATTTTTGCCTTTTTCCTAGTTGTTTTAGTTTACTATTTTAGTTAATATATCTGGACCACAGTCGAGGCCAAGAAAATCTCAAATGTGTTGCCAAGGCAGACTTGAGCATTGTCTAGAGGAGGTAGAACATTTTGTGTCCAAGCAAACAAAAAGTGGAGTCAGAACAAGGTGACATTACCTTAGTTATTTCAGCATGACGAGTATCATCCCATTTCTCCATTAGGAAGTTAGTGACTGTCCTTCCTTTGCTTTGCTTTTGAAGGTCAAGCCAGTCATCCACAGCAGGATCAATGTGTCTGCCCGCTTCAGGAAATCACTGCATGAGCCTTGCACCATTTTGTAAGTTGGAGACACTGACATTTTTTTTTATGTTTCAGGGTAGAATTAATTGGCTCTGTACTTTCCTTGGGGTTTGAAATTTGAATGTTATGAGCATAACTGTCTCAGATGTGTTGCCTATATTTCCCTTTTCTCCACAGCTTGATTGCAAATGGAGACCTCATAAGCCCAGCTTCTCGACTCCTCATCCCTAGAAAAGCTTTAAATCAGTGGGATCACGTACTACAAATGGTCACAGAAAAAATAACTCTTCGGAGTGGGGCTGTCCACAGGTGCGTCAATAGCGTCTTTCCACAGGGGGATGGTTTGGAATCCTTGAAGATGTTTCCACTCGCAGACTGAAGTTTCTGTCTCACCCAGTCACACATCCATTTAGTCCCAAATAAACACAAAGAGGCTTATATTAATTATAAACTGGCCTATCACTCAGGCTTCTTATTGGCTAGTTCTCTCTTGATTATTAACTCATAATCTGTGTATCTCCATATGACTTTGGCTTACTGGAGAATACCTAGGCTCACAACTCATTCTCTGCATTTCTCTTTCCAGAATTCTCCTAGCCTGGTAGCCCTGCCTATGCTTTCTTCTTGGCTACATCTTGCCTTTCCATTGGCTAAAGCAATATTATTCATCAACCAATAATAGAAACATGTATTTACAGCACAGAGAAGGACATTCCCCCATCACTCACAGGCTCTGGAGTCAATGATCCCTAGATCTGAAGTTTGGCTGATCCTGTTAAGCTTAACATGTCTCAGTTTCTTTATATGAAGACTATGATATATAATGGCACCTCAGTGTTGGTTGTTTCAAACAGCTTTTGGTGTGTTGGAACATATCAACTAAAATATACTATTTTAGTGTAGCGTAATAAGTAATAAGTAAGCATCATTCTATGTTAAGGAAGAGGGACTTCTTGATGCCGAGTTGACTATTCTTTCTCCCAGGGAGGCAAGACTGTTTATTCAGTAGTTTGAACTCTTTGCCTCAGGCAAACATGTCAGATGCTGGAAAGAGTAGATGAATTTAAGGAGGAAAGAGGTGAGGGAGGATAAGTGAGCTGTTCTAAAATTAAAAACCAAAAGCATTTTTAAAATACCCTGCTTTATCAGTCTCTTCCCCACTTTTTTGAGAGTCTTTCTTTGAACCTAGAGCAAGGCTAGCTGCCAGGAAGTCCTCACAATCCTATCCCTGCCGTCCTGTCTCTGCCCCCATCCCTCAGTGTTAGGATTATAGGCATATGCAAGATATACTCAGGGTGCAGAGACAGGAGGGCTGTGGGCTTGCTGAATGTTAGCCATCTTAACTCCAGATTAATAAGAGTCACTGTCTCGAAGGCATACGATGGAGAATGATAGAGAGTAGGACACTGCATGACTCCCTCTGGCCTTTTCAAGTGTGTATATGGCAAGAATACCACTTCACCTGCTGGTAACATCACATACATATATTGCATCACACACAAGTGGGTTTCATTGTTTCCTGATTTTTATTTATTTGCTATAGAGTACTGTCTGTTGATTTCCCCCTTCAATTCTAGGTATTTTTGTAATCATTTTACATTTTAAATGAATTAACTCAGCATTCTATGAATTAAGAAATAGTATTCTCTTTCAATAGACACATTGAGAAGAAAGTTACAAGCCCAAGATTAAACAGACACTGGGTAGCATGCTGGATAGCAAGCCTAGCAGGTAGTCTGAAGCTGATGCTTAGTTCCTAAGTTACTTTCTAAATAAGTGACATGTGCTTACATCCTATTTTGTATGACCTGTCACTTTGCATATTTGTCTTATTGGTTTTAAGCCACACTTTATGTATTAGAGAAGTTGGCCTTTTTGTCTAATGTGTTTCCAGTTTGCATTTCTTTGTTTTATATATAAAAATCTTGAGTTTTCAGTCTTTCTTTGTGTTCACTAATTTTATCACTAGCTCCAGTCTTCTTGGCTCTAGGATTCTAAAAAATAAATTTATGTTGTTTCATCTTGTGCTTTTATCTTTTATTTAAACCTTAGCTACTTTTTGGTTGTGGTAGGGAAATCAACATCACTAGTTATACATAGTTTTTAAAGAAAATATAGGTTTATATTTTAACATCTGTATACACGATGACTTCCCTAACAAATAATACAAAGTATAGATATAGACAGACAATTTCTTATCTAAATGTATCTTCTCTTATTCATGAACAAATTCTTAGGTGGAAATAAGTAGCCATGTGAGCAATAAGGAAAATAAGATTGTGTTCCCCATCCACCTGAATATTTAGAGAAATTAAATATTGTTTTCTTGAAACAAGGTCTCACTTCATAGCCTTGGTTGGTCTGGAACTCATTCAGTAGCCCCAAACTCGTGGCAATCCTCCTGAATCTGTCTCCTGAGAGCTGTGATCTCAGGTGTGAGCTAATACACCCAATTGAGAAATTTAATTATTAATTCAATGGTAGACTTCTGTCTTTGGAGAGCCCACTCTCCCTTAATAGAACATTGAAAACTCTTTATGTTATTCATCAGTATGTTTATTTAATAGCAGAACATCAATATATCTTTCTGTTATGTATCAGTATATTAATTTACCAATAGCATCCACAGAAATTGGTTCAACTTCCTGTTCATGATCCTTGTGTTCTGAGGCAACAGAAGGAAGCAGGTCAATAAGGCTATATTGTAGAAGCATAATAAAGTCACAGGTTATAATTTACACAATAGCTTTATCTACCTGCAGACTAAATCAGCCATCTCTTGGCTGGGAGGTCCTGGAGTCCAAATTGCACTGCCTTTTAATTTCTAGTGTAAGAGCTAACAGCTGATTTGGATCTGATTTGGAGGAAAGAGGGTGAAGAATGTCTGGCTGTCTGGCTCTTGGCCAGTGGTTCTCAGTCAGGTGTGATTTTGCTTCTAGGGGACATGCATCTGTGTCTGGAGACATTTCTGGTGAGCACAACTGGGCATGTGAACAGCTCCTCCATCTAGTGGAGAGAGACTGGGGTGCTGCTCCCTACAATAGGCAGGGGAGAGTCTAGGATGCTCTTAGGCACCTGTGATGGGTTGAACAGCTTCCCTGGTTAGAGGACTGGCTACAGAGCCTTTGTTTAGGATTGGTAATCAAGATAAGCATGATAAGCAGAAATCTGGGTTGTGATGCTATTTAGACTTACAGAATTGGAAATACCACATTATAAAAAGAATGTAACATGAATAATAAAAGACCCAGTTACTGATATTGGGGTTCAAACTTCAAGCTAAAGATCAGAAAAGCAAAGCAGCCAGCCACTGCTCTTAACCTCTACTCCAGACCAAAGGAACAACCACTGAATCTCAGATTGCATCTCCAGACTGCTATGCTCTCCTCAATGTGGCTGGAGACTAATTGTCACATGAGATCCCTTTCTTTTTCCTTTTATTATTCTCAAATCCTGGAATTAAAGACATGGTATCCCAAGTGCTGAGATCACTGTTGTATGAACTGTTTCTCTTTTAGATCAGATCAGTTTCGTGTAGCTCAGTGTGGCCTTGAACGAACAGATCTGTCTACCTCTGTATCCCAAGTTCTGGGATTAAAGGTGTGTACCACCACCGCCTAGCTTCTGTAGCTAACTAGTGTGGTTGGCTTTGCCTTCTGATACTTTAGGCAATCTTTATTAAATCATAAATGATATATCACTACATAAGATGTTAACATCTGCATGGTAAAAACTAGTATTTTTCATGATTTCTGTGGGTATTTTCAGTGTTCTCCATGACCAGCACGTTGATCAATTGATCCCCCTTTTCCTTCTTTGATACAAAGTCTGTAGTCCTGGCTAGCTGGTCTGGAACTCACCAGGTAGCCCAGGCTAGCCTTGAACTCATGATGTTTCTGCCTCAGCTTTTCTGGTGATAGAAGGATTTTATTGTTGTTATTCACCTTTTTATGTAACATAAGGCATTTGAAAATTTTCTAACACATGTTGAAACCCTTCTAACTACTAGCTGTTATTTATAATCTTCTAAATTGCGTTATCTTCCTGGTTTAGTTTTCTAGTGGCCTGCTTTCCTCCCTTTAAAAGAATTCTGTAGATAATTTAAACCATCTAGGAAAAAAAAATCAGCATTCTTGCAATAAGTGACATATTAATTGAGGTTACAGCAGCAGTTTTACAGTAAAGGTGGCTCTATGAACTCCCAGCTCTTGGATCATGCTCACTCTCCTGCTTAGGCGAGGCTAAAAAAGGAGACAAAAGCATGTCTGCTATGCAATTCTGTGTCATTAGTGCGGCTTGCCCGTGCCCTTCCTCCCTCTCACCTCTTTTCTTCTGACCCACTTCTGTGTGTTTGGCTGTAGTACCTTGGCCGGAGGCTATCCTTAATAGAGAATGAGGCAGGAAGCCTGGCCTACAAGCATACTAAGAAACTATGTGGAAACATTGTTGACAAACACATCATCAATCAGTCATCCATGGAAGCTCAGCGTCATTTAAACACCATATTCTGGGGCTGGTGAGGTGGCTTGCTGGTATAGACACCTCCTTGCTGCATGAGCCTGAGTGTGATTCTTGGAAGGAGAGAACCAACTCCTGAATGCTGTCTTCTGACTTCCATCTACACTTACACCATGGCACACACATGCCTCCCCACCACAATAGTAACAAATGAAAATAAATACATTCTATACCAATAACTATCCCCCCTCTCTCTCTATCTCCCTCCCTCTCTCCCTCTCTTTCTCTCTAAAATCTTCCTATGGTACCAGAAGGGATCTCTATGCTGGCTTGCCAGACTCATTGGTAGTGCCTGGTCAGCCCGATAGTGTTCAGATCGCTGGTATGATAGGCAATTCCTGTTAAATCTTCTACTTTACAATTAGTAATTGGAAGAGTAACAGATGAGCCATTCTTCAGCAGCTCTCCAAATGCTTGTGGAAATTCTAATTGTTGGCATTGGTGTTTTGACAGGCTTTATACTTTAGAAGGAAAACTGGTCGAGAGTGGGGCAGAACTGGAGAATGGGCAGTTTTACGTGGCCGTTGGCAGAGACAAGTTTAAGAGACTACCTTACAGTGAGTTACTTTTTGACAAGTCAGCCATGAGAAGGCCTTATGGGTAAGTCTTCATTCCTGCTCACTTACTCTCACTCTTTAGTTACTGCTTGAAGTAACATTGGAGCAATGTCAGTGTAAAGAGAGGAGGAGGGGGATTAAGAGTGGGCAATGGGGAAAGAAAGGCCATTATCTCATGTGTTCTGTTTATTTGGAACATATAAACATAAGCATGTAATTGATGGTAGGTGTGATAGTGCATATGGTATTCCAAGCCCAGAGGTGGAAGCAGGAAGATCAGGAGGTTAAGATCAGCCTCAAATATGCAGTGAGTTCAAGGCTAGCCACTCTCAAAATCAAACAAAAAAGTATTTTCCGTAACTGCCAGTCTTAGTCATCAGTTAGAATAGATGGCATTCATGACCAAGAACTGTTGTATCAAACACTGTTGGGATTTGTGAAAAGCTCAGCACCAAGTTTACAGTAAATAATTTTTTTTCTTTTTATGTGAAGAAGATAACAGGCCATGAGCTCTCTGTATAAATCTCACAGACAGTTTTAGAGTCTAACAGTATATGTAGAACACACAAATTTTCTGTTTGTTTGGGTAGAAACTTACGGATGCTTACATTTGTTATTTTTATTTGTCTTTCTGAGACAGGGTTTCTCATAGACCAGACTGGCCTCTAACTATGTGTGCAGCCCAGGATCACTGTGAACTCATGTTCTTTCTTCCTCTACCTCTGAGTTCTGGGATTATAGGCATGTACAGCCTCATCTGGCTTACATGCCATCCATGTCCTTTAAAAACCATGAAATATACAAGCAATGTAATTGTACTTGCACAAACAGATAGCATAGAGTCAGTGGCAAACCTTCGAGACTCTTGTGTGTGTGTGTTCACTTACTTGTGGGCACACGGATATGTGGAGGTCAAAGGTTAATGTTAAGTGTCTTTCTTGACTGCTCCCAACTTTATTATTTGAGCTTGTTCATTCAGTTTAAGGCAGCTTGTTCTAGGGATCCCTTATCTCTGCCTCTTGAGCCTTGAGATTACGAGGTGGTCTCTGTGCCTACCCAGTATTTCCATGGGTTCTGGAGACTTGAACTCTAATCTTCAAGCTTCTGTAGCAAGCACTTTATCCCCTGAGCCTTCTCCTCAAGCAAGTACTTGCACTAGGTAAGTGTTTCCTCTTGGAAGTACTATTTGGGAGGATGTCATGTATAGCCTAGCACTTGTGCTGTAGAGCCTTGAGCTTTGTAGGTGGGCCTTGGGGATCTATCTCTGTTGTTCTGTACAGAGTTCAGTGCCTCTTGTCTCTTAAATTTGCCTTTTCATGGCTGTCCTCTGCAGAGGCAGAGTGGAACATCACCATTTGTATCCTGTGAGGCTGATGGGGGTTAGCTGAGGCTTCTATGAGTAGCAGAATGGAATGCCATGAGTGTTGGGCCTATGTAGGAGCCAAGGCCTTCATGAACCTTAGAGTTGTGTGCCAACGGAGTGGTTGTTGATTACCCAGTCATGAAATCTATTCTTTTGACAACTTCTGCTTAGCAATGGATGAGTCTGCTGTGTGCAGCACTGGGCACTTGGTGGTAATGTATAAGCTGTGACTCACTGACCTCTCTCTTATACATTAATAAAGTTTACCATTATATGTGTGTCCGTTTTTGGAGATAGATTTCAAGTTGGATTTTTGGTACAGACATATGAAACCAAGGAAAAAGAATTATTATTTTTATTTGGTGATAATTGACCTGTTTAAAAACTCCCTGAATATAAATGCCAGCACTTTTCATTCCTTTCCATCACAAGTGGACATAATAGACATCATTTTAAAAAGTCATTATTATTCTGGTTGTGGTGGCACACACCTTTAATTCCAGCACTCAGGAGACAGAGGCAGGAAGATCTCTGTGAGTTTGAGGTCAGCCTGATCTACAAAGTGAGTTCCAGGATAGCCAAAGATACACAGAAAAACCCTGTCTCAAAAAACTAAAAAAAAAAGTCATTTTTTAAAAAAAGAGATAATCTTGTATAACTTGGGATAGCTTTGAATTCTTTTTTTATAGCATGATTATATAGGTTTTTTTAATATTTTAGTTTTTTAATTTTTTAAAATTTATTTTATATAACAAAGTCCAATTAAATGAAAACAAACATTTATACACAATATTTGGGAATTTGGGCGTTGTTCTTTCCAAACTACTTCCTGCTGGTAAGGGGCACTGTCATGGGGGATTCGAAGAAGATTCAGAAATCCTGGCTGTAGTCTGTAAGGCTGCTTTGTCCAGCTGTTTTGAATGTAGGATCACCTCGTACTCTGTTTCAGGCGGTCTGGCGTGATCAAACCACATTAGTCTGGAAGGAATCCACATCTTTTCATTTTCTGTGGAAACAAAAATAGAAATCCTTTTCCCCAGTAACTTGTCCTTCAACTTAAATTTTGGAGTCAAAGCACTTTTTTTTAAATTTAATTTATTATTTTTCATGTTGATCCCAGTTCCCTCTCCCTCCCTCTCTCCTTCCCTCCCTCTCTCCTTCTCTCCCTCCTTCCCTCCCTCCTTCCTTCCCTCCCTTTTACCCTCTCTGCCCTCTCACATGCACTCTAACCACCCTCCCTTCCCATCCCCCCCACCCCAATTCCATATGTAGGGGAATGCCATCCAGTTGGGGTCATGTAGGTGAAGTAGGGACTAGAGCTTCTCTCCTGTCTCTAGATTAAGGCAGTTATCCCTCCATGGGGGATGTGTTCGCAAAGTCCTTTTGTGCACCAGGGATACATCCTGGCTCCATGTCTGAGGTCCCTTAGACTACTCAGTCCTTCTGGCTGAGACCCATATTCAGGGGGGCCTGAGTCAGTCCCATGCTGGCTTCCCAGCTATCAGTCTGGTGGCCCGTTAGCTCCTCCTTGTTCAGGTAAGCTGTCTCTATGTATTTCTGTCTCCTGGTCTTGTCCTCTCCATCTGCATCTGGGTTCTAGTTCGACTCAGTGTTTATGTATGGGTGTTTGATCCTGTTTCCAACAGGCATTAGTTGAGGGCTCCATGGAGAAGTTAGTTGTTGATCTCACTCTCCGGGAAGGGCATTTATGATAGCCTTACCACGGAAGCTCAAATTGTTAGTTGGGAGCAGTCTTACAGTTCTCTAGACCTTTCTTTGTGTTCAATTTTATCTTCAAACCAATATTGGCTCCCTCTTTTATGTTCTCTCTCTCTGTCTCTCTCTCTCTCTTTCCTGTCTTCTATTCCTAACCAGGCTCAATATTCCTGGTCGCACATGTTTTCCTTTTCTCCCCCTCATTTTCTCCTACTTCTCTCTCCATTCGCTGCCCCCCCACTTCCCCTGAGCTCTGGGGGACTTGCCCCTTCCCAGTTCTGTGAGGGACTTTATATGAATCTCTTAGAATACACCTTGTATCCTAGTTCCTCTGGTGGTGTGAATTATAGGCTGGTGATCCTTTGATCTAGGTCTAAAATCTATATATGAGTGAGTACATTCTGTGTTCCTCTTTTTGTGACTGGGTTACCTCATTCAGGATGGTTTCTTCAAGTGCCATCCACTTGCCTGCGAATTTCAAGATACCATTATTTTGTTTTTCTGCAGAGTAGTATTCCATTGTGTAGATGTGCCACATCTTCATTAACCATTCTTCAATTGAGGGGCATCTAGGTTGCTTCCAGATTCTTGCTATTACAAATAGTGCTGCTATGAACATAGTTGAACAGATGTCTTTGTTGCATGGATGTGAATCCTTTGGGTATATGCCTAAGAGGGGGATTGCCGGGTCCTGTGGTAAACTAATTCCCATTTTCCGCCATACTGATCTCCAAAATGGCTGTATGAGTTTGCACTCCCACCAGCAGTGGAGGAGTGTTCCACTTTCTCCACATCCTCTCCAACATAAGTCATCACTGGTGTTTCTAATTTTTGCCATTCTGGCAGGGGTAAGATGGTATCTCAAAGTTGTTTTGATTTGCATTTCCCTGATAGCTAAGGATGTGGAGCATTTTCTTAAGTGTCTTTCAGCCTTTTTGATTTCCTCCATTGAGAATTCTTTCTTCAGTTCTGTACCCCATTTTTTAATAGGGTTATTTGGTGTTTTGTTGACTAGTTTCTTGAGTTCTTTGTATATTTTGGAGATCAGCCCTTTGTCTGATATAGGATTGGTGAAAATCTTTTCCCAGTCTGTGGGCTGCCATTTGGTCTTTTCCACTGTGTCCTTTGCCTTACAGAAGCTTCTAAGTTTGAAGAGATCTCATTTATTAATTGTTTTTCTCAGTGTCTGTGCTCCTGGAGTTATGTTCAGGAAGCGGTCTCCTATAACAATTTGTTCAAGGGTACCTCCTACTTTCTCTTCTAAGAGGTTCAGTGTGGCTGGATTGATGTTGAGGTCTTTGATCCATTTGGACTTGAGTTTTGTGCATGGCGACAGACATGGGTCTATCTGCAGTCTTCTACACACCCTCATCCAATTGTGCCAGCAACATTTGTTGAAGATGCTATCCTCGCCCCATTGTATAATTTTAGCTGTTTTGTCGAAAATCAGGTGTTCATAGGTGTGTGGGTTAATATCAGGATTTTCAATTTGACTCCATTGGTCTACCTGTCTATTTTTATGCCAATACCAGGCTGTTTTCAGAACTATAGCTCTGTAGTAGAGCTTAATGTCAGGAATGGTGATGTCTCCTGAAGTTCTTTTATTGTATAGGGTTGTTTTGGCTATCCTGGGTCTTTTGTTTTTCTATATAAAGTTGATTATTATCCTTTCAAGGTCGGTGAAGAATTGTGGTGGGATTTTAATGGGGATTGCATTGAATCTGTAGATTGCTTTTGGCAAGATTGCCATTTTTACTATGTTTATCCTACCTATCCAAGAGCATGGGAGATCTTTCCATTTTCTGGTATCTTCTTTAATTTCTTTCTTTAGAGTCACAAAGTTCTTATTATATAGGTCTTTTACTTGTTTGGTAGATAGGTTTGAATTCTTGATAACTAACACTCTACTTCCTTAGGGCTAGGATTACAAATGGGGGTCACCATGCCCAACAATTTTATTGCTTTTGACTCAATCTGGCATAGTTGTTGCTTTGCTTAAAAATGATTTTTTTTGGACCTACAAATAGAGTGTTTGGGAATTTAAATTAAAACTGTTTGTCTTAATTAGGGTTTCTATTTATGTGAACAGACACCATGGCCATAGCAACTCTTGTAAAGGAAAATTTTTAATTGGGGTGGCTTATAGTTCAGAGGCTCAGTCTGTTATTGTCTTGGTGGGACATGGTTGTGTGCAGACAGACATGGTGCTGGAGAAGTAGCTGAGAGTCTTACATTTTGTAGGCAACAGGAAGTGATGTGACTGTCATACTGAGTGAAGCTTGAGAAAGAGACCTCAAAGTACACCCTTCAGTGGCACACTTCCTCTAACAAGGCCATATCTATTAATGCCACCCCTGTAAGATTATGGGGGCAATTACATTCAAACTACCACACTATATAAAAAAAACTTGTATTAAAGTTTGTTTGTAAGCATCAAGTCAGATGATATTCAGGAAACCATTAGAAGTGATTTAGAATGGAATTTGAGGTTTTATGGTACTAACCACAAGGGTCAGTGGACAAAGGCTTCTGGGAGTGATAGCAGTTGATAGCTTGTCATATGTTTGTATTAGTTGTAACCCACATTCACATCTCCAAATTGCAATTTGTTTCCACAGTCAGAAAGCTTCTTCACTACCTCCCATGGTTGGATCGAGGAAGTCTAAAGGGAGTGTAAGTATCAGCAGCTTTCCTCATTAATGTTCCGTATCTCTATAGAGCCATCCTTTGGGTTTCAATTAAATTCAAAGGAATAAATCTTAGCTACTATGTGAAATATTACTAGAGTTTCGTGTTATAACTGAAGTCCTAAACAAGAGCTAATGCTTTTAGAAGATAGAATCCAAAACCTTTTGCTTGTGTAAACATGATACAACTTATGTTGTGGTTATGGTCTGAGTAGTAATTCATAAAGCTGTGACAACATTACTAAGACATAGTAGTGCTTGGGTAGTCTTATTCCCTGTGTCTAACCAAGACTCAAAAGGTAAGAAGATGGCCACCCTCAGTTGTACTTCTTTGAAAAAAAAAATCAAGAATACCCTAAATGCTTTATTCCACCCCAGATGTTTTCCCTGGTCATTCCCTCACTGCTTGTTACCTGAACAAGGATTGATGATATGCCTCTGATATGGTAGGTTATCTGCTAACAGTTCATTCTACACTGTAGCTCATCCCCTAACCTCCAGTCTACACTGCAGTTCATCCTCCAACCTCCAGTCTGCACTAAAGTTCATCCCCTAACCTCCAGTCTGCACTGTAGTTCATCCCCTAACCTCCAGTCTGCACTGTAGTTCATCCCCTAACCTCCAGTCTATACTGCAGTTCATCCCCTAACCTCCAGTCTGCACTGGAGCTCATCCCCTAACCTCCAGTCTGTACTGCAGTTCATCCCCTAACCTCCATTCTACATTGCAGCTCATCCCCTACCACACCCTCCCATCCATAGCTCCCTTGAGGATGAAGTTCACTTTGTTCAGAGCGCTATCCTAGCAGGTTTTTCTGGCTGAGGGGTCTCTGATCTCTCTCAGTGGCCTCAGCAGAAGTGATCAGAACTGACCTAGCATTCCTACCCCACTCTGATTAGCTGAGCAGCAGTCATGTTCTGGTGTGTTATAAGTGCTTGCGGAATCAGTGATATTGTCTCCTAATGGGCAAGTATGTATCCTTTCCTGCTGTCTTGTTTCATGACATTCTTAACGAAAAAGAAAGATCATTTTGTGTTTGTATCATTGGACTTGACACTCATTCATGGAGACTGTGCAGCTTATGGCAAAGCTCTTGCCCTTGATGCTCCTTAACACTCTTAAGGAAAGACAGAAAACTATCAGGAAGGTTATGAGTAGCCTGAAACAAGAACATAGAATATTAACACTGTCTTTGAGTACCAGTGCAGATTCTAGTAGATGCAGCTGAGGAGAGGGGTTTTAGGAGGAAGGTAGTATGAGGGAAGAAGAAATGGTACATGAAGATGCCGTCATGATAACCAGTATTCACTGTCCACCCAAGACCCCACTTTTAGGCAGAGAAGAGACATAATGTGGTGTGATTCCATTGATAAGCCTTGGGAAGTGGCCTGAGTAGAACATGGTGAGTCTAGACTAGATTGACAGCAAGGGATACTGGAACTGATTATTATTATTGAAGAGATAGTTTTCTTGATGATTGGGTAGATCAGGTTGCTGGAGAAGATAGAAACCAAGGTAATCACAGAGTTTTTGAGCTTGGATGCCAGAAAAAAAATGGTAGGTCAATGACCAGGAAGAGGACAGGCAGAAGAAATAGTTAGCAATGGCTTCCTTTCAAATATGCTGGATTGATTTGGCCAGCCACATAATGACCCATTTTGAGGCACAGAGACCGTATGGTACTTCCAACACATACTGTCTTATCAGTAGTAATGTAGCTTGAGGGAATGGATGAGTAGGAACCTGGAGGGGACAATTCAGTAATAACCACAGGTGACCTAAACATAGAGAACCTAACTTCTTTAAGGTGTAGAGGAAGAGGAGACTTTGTATGTCAGTAGCTGAAAAGTATCTTTACCACTAAAAATGATAAATGAAATGTATATACTCAAGAGTTGGAGAGATTTATTTATTAAGGTTTATTTTATTTTTAAGTATGTGTATGTGCCTTTATGGGACTATGGGCACATGAGTGCAGGTACCTGCCAAGGCTAGACAAAGGTATCAGATACCCTGAAGCTGGAGATACAGGTTGGCTGTATGTGGGTGTGAGGAATAAAACTTGTGCTTCTGCAAGAACAGTAAGCTTACTTAACCTCTGTACCATCTCTCCAGGCCCAGGACTTGTAGTTCGTTCTCTAATTTTCTGGAGGGCTTTGTGGCAGGATTACTTCTGCATACACACTTTTCAAGTCTCAGCTCTTCACTCTCATAATACAATGGACAAGCAGAGGTTAAACAGAAACCCAGTGTAACTGAATAACTCACCCAGGGTCACAGGGAAAATTGATGACAAGACTAAGGTCACATTCCCAGCTGTTTCACATTGCAATTTTGTGTTTACTAGTATGAAATCTGAAAAGCTAAAATTTTCATTAACAATGTAAGACTACCTGCTCTATATCACACATTCCAGCACACTTGTGTGCTTTCCTTCCTCACTCTCTCACTCCTTAGGAAGATTTCTGAACTGTTGTGAATACTTGTTCTCTAATGATTGAGTAATTAGGTGTCTGGTTGGGGATGGGCCCTGGGGGAGGGTGGGTGGGCAGAGATGAGTAAAAAGATGTGCATCTCTTTGATGTATGGGATAATAAGGTCTAGTGCAGGAGACAACTGTTGACCCAACTGTTATGAGTAGGTTTTTATGCCTGCCTGAGCCCACTGCTGCACCAGCCACAAATAACACACATAAACACTGTATTAGATATAATTCTGTTGGCCTGTTACTAACATTTCTTATCGGCTAGCTCTGTCTTAAATATTAACTCATTTCTAGTAATCTAAGTATTTCCACGTGGTCTCATCTTACTGGAGAGAGGGGCTGGCGTTCTGCTCTCTGTCTGCCATCTTGGATCTCCTCCCTCTTACTTCCTCTCTCCTCCTTGTCTCCTAGTCCTGCCTATCTTGCTTTCCTAATTGGTCAACAGTGCTTTATTCATTAACCAATAAGAGAAACGTATTTACAGAATGGCATCTCCCATCATCTCCTCTTTTCTGTCTAAAATAAAATGAAGAGTTTTAACTTTAGCGTAGCAAAATATATCACACAACAGTTATCAAATAAGAATCACAGCTAACAATATTTAGTCCATTAACATTTAATAAGACTTAAAAAAATAATTCTATCATCCATCCTATCTTTGTGAGTCTAAAGTCTTATATGTAACTTATCTTTAATCCTAACTAATGAAAACTATAACCATAACTATCTGTCTTCAACTCCTTCAAAGACCACAGAAGGATAATTTATAAACTCTAGAAATGACAGAGACAACTTGCTTGATCAGTCACCCGAAGTTCTACTGTAATGTTACATCTTTAGCCCATAGGCCATAGTGTGTCTGTCAGACTCCTCAGCAAAGGAGGACACTAAACTGACTACCTTTATTGGCAATTTGTTAGTCACATTTCACTGTGTCCTGCAGACTGTCTGTGCAGACTCTTCCATGAAGTAAGAATCCTGTAGCAATGCCAATCTTGTATCAGCAGTCATTTTTCTGTGGGTCGTGGGTCCTTCATGTCCAGTTTATATAGCATAAAGTCGAACATTCCAGATAAGAACAGTATCATGCCCAAATGGCTAGTCTTGCCATATTGAAAGTAAACTCCATAAGGCGTTTCATCGATGTCCATCTTCCTTTCTGACACAAATGGTGTTGCCAGGAGTAGTTATGTTTCATTGTCAAGAAAAACCCTAAACCATTTTAAATGCCATATTCTGTAGGACTTTGAAAGGTTTGAAGAATGCCTATTCATCTCAAATACATCTCTATAGATCTAGAAATCTTAACTAACTTAATTATAAGTTTTGACTATTATAGGTAAAACCTAACTTAAGTTTTGACTAATATAGGTAACTATCTATAATCTGTACTAAATTATACATTACATTTTAAATGAGCTATATGAACACAATACCTAAACAAAAGGAGAAATATACATATCACAAAATTGACTTTAAATTGTATCCATAAATAAAAATCCATTTCAAAACAAAGTATTCATATGTATACCATAATCCCCTTTTTACCTTTAAAAAGAGATTGGTTGTGATCATTAACCATTTAAACCCAACCCCATTTAAATGAAAACAAACATTTATAGACAATATTTAGGAATTTGGGTGTCATTCTTTCCAAATTGCTTCCTGCTGGTAGGGGGTGCTGTTATGGGGATCCTAAGAAGACTCAGAAATCCTGGCTGTGGTCTGCAAGGCTGCCTTGTCCCAAGGACAATGCTTCAGGGGGGTCTTGCTTGATCAAACCATGTTAATCTCCAAGGAATCCACAGCTTTTCATTTTCTGTGGAAACAAAAATAGAAATCCTTTTCCCCAGTAACCTGTCTTCAGACTTAAATTTTGGAGTCAAAGCATTTTTAAAATATATATATTGAATTAATCCAGCAGCATTTGTTTTAACAGTTGTTATTTCCTCAGCAGTCAAATGATACAAAGACAATATAATACCGTACAGTATCCAGATTTTCTCTGTGCTTTCCATCATTACGTGGCTTTTTTTTTTATTACTCTATTTCTTTCTTTCTTTTTTTTTTTTAAAATGGGCTTTTTTTTTAAACATATTTTTATTACATATATAATGTTCTGCCTGCAGGCCAGAAGAGGGTGCCAGATCTCATAATAGATGGTTGTGAGCCACTATGTGGTTGCTGGGAATTGAACTCAGGACCTCTGGAAGAGTAGTCAGTGCTCTTAACCTCTGAGCCATCTCTCCAGCCCATTACTCTATTTCTTTAACTTTTATTTTTTTCATTTTTTTGAGACAGGGTTTCTCTGTGTAACTTAACCCGGTATACCAGGTTTACTTTGAAAATCACAGAGGTCTGCTTGCCTCTGTCTCCCCAGTGCTAGAATTAAAGGCGTGTGCCACCACACCCAGCTACTCTCTGTCTTTTTTATTATTATTATTATTTTTTAAACCATTGTATCCTGTTTTATTTTTCTCTCCCAAGCCTACATATATTTT